GTCTCATACATATATTATATTTATAAATTTAAATTAAAAATAAATATTCTTCTGTGTGCAGGTGACACAACTAAAAATATCGAGCAACCCATTCGCCAAAGGATTTCGAGATGATGGCACCAACGATGTGTAAGTAGGCCAATATGGTATATCATATCTCTAAGCAACTACATAGTCTATAAGTCCGCGAGAGCTTAACTAAAATGTATATGTATATATTATAGTATAAATGATTCAGGCGCACCAACAAATCTTGTTTAAGCCTCAGCAAAATATGACAAGAACCAAAGCCTTAAACAGTATTTGTATAAATTATAGAAATATCAAAGAAACAGCAAAGTGAAGCGAGACGACGCATGAATACCCTCTAATGGGTATTGAGGATCTGTAAGAGACACATATCAAATAAAGTTTACATACTCTTGATGAGGATATCGAGCTGGAGCTGGAGACAATTAGTATATGCATGAGGGAAACATATAATTGGAAAATCAGCTCTTTTGCAGGGTTCAGGGGATCTCCCAGTCGAGCAGTCTCAACTATAGCACTCTTAGTTGTTTTATTTATCAAATAGAAACCTTAATAGATGTTTGTAATACAATTTGTTATGAAATTGACCCACTTAGAGGCAATGCCCATATTTATTGTCGAACACAATTCAAATCCAAGTGGTCCGGCAGACAGTCCGTCGACTGGCTGCCGTTGCCGTTGCCGTTGCCGTTGCCGCTGGTTCAAGTCATTCCGGGAATTGCCGACGCGTCGCATCTACAAAAATAAAACACGCACATGAAACAATAACTCAAAATGGGTGCGAGAACTTCAACTTAGAATGTGGAGCATAAGCATCTCCGGCTGGCTATGATGGGCCAGCTGACAGACATGCCAGCCAGCCAGCCAGCTATAAACAATTTTTTTTTTCTTTCGCCTTTTTTCATATTTCGGCAGAGGGTCGATTGTAAACAAAAAAAAAAAAGTTGAAGCGTTTCTGAATGTTTATCAAAAATTTGAAATTTTGAATTTGAAATTTTAATTGCAGCACCAGCGGCAGCCTGGGCATGTCCAGCATGAGCCATGAGAGTCAAGCCCGCATGAAGCAGCAGCAGCAACAGCAGCAGCAGCAACAGCAACAGCAGCAGCAGCAACAGCAACAGCAGCAACATCAGCTGCAGCAGCAGCAGCATTTAAAGGCAAAGGACCGAACGCCGCCAAACAGCTTCAGCTTGTCCTGCACAGAGCTTGTGGAGCAGCAAACAGCAGCAGCGGCGGCAGCAGCATCGGCAGCAGCAGCAGCAGCCGCAGCAGCAGCAAGTACAGCTCAATTGGGCATGCAGCTGCCAGCCACGCCCTCGAGCAGCTCAACATCAGGCAATTCACCCGATCTGTTGGCCTTTCAGTTGGAGGCAACACCGCTGCAGCAGCAGCAACAACAGCAACAGCAGCAGCAGCTTTTGCATCAGCAACAGTTGCAGCCAACGCCACAGCAATTGCAGCAGCAGCACCAGCAACACCAACACCATCAGCAGCAACACCAACAACAGCAACACCAGCACCAGCAGCAGCAACAACAGCAAAGCCTTCATCAAATGTCCAGCAGCTATGGCGGCAGCTATCATCATCCCTATCAGCATCATCAGCATCAGCATGCGGCAACGCCATTGACGCCGCTGTCGGCCAGCTCGGCATCGCCGCCAGCGCCGGGCGCGGCTGCTGCCGCTGCTGCAGCCACTCAGGTGATGGCAGCGGCCAACATTTACTCGACCATTGGGCAGCCATATGCGGGAGAGCAGAGTAACTTTGGTGCCATTTATCATCACAATGCGGCGCACTATCACAGCCATGGCTATGGCAGTCCCTACGACAAGCTCAAGGTCTCGCCGGGTCACATGCGACAGGCGGCAGCCGCAGCGTACGGGATGAGCAGCTATCAGAGCTTCTACGGCAGCGCCGCGGCCGCCCATCAAATGATGCGGCCCAACAGCTACATCGACTTGGGGCCGCGTTGATAAGCGCTGGGGGAGGGTCGAGCTATGCCAAGTATTATACTATATATAGTCAGCCTTGGGCCTGCACTCAAGTATTACAAGTATTTTCAACTAATCCAAAACTCAAACTCAACTCAAATTACTATTATTTACTATTATTATTATAATTGTCTCACATATATA